CAGAACACACAGAAGAGAAGGACAACTCCAAACCCGAGCAGATGGAGCTCGTTCAGCCCTGTAAGGCCGTCCATCTAAGAGAAGGTCACTCTAATCAAACCTACGTCCTGAGGACCTCGCTGTCCAAGCTCTCTCGGCCCCAGCAGATGAACCTTAGGATTAAAGGGTGGGCTCAGTTCAGCACACACTGTGTCTCACCTAAAAAATCCATTGCGCAGGCTTGAAGGCCTTACCTGCATTTGCAAAGCCCTGTATCGACATCTACAAATGCAGTCACACAAAGATCAAAAGACAAAGGCATATACACCTGCCTCCAAAGGTGCAGCCAAATTAACTCTAGCACGTTGGAACATCAGAACCACGCTCAATTCTGCAGACAGTGGACGTCCTGAGCGCCGGTCTGCCCTGATTGCCCATGAACTGTCACGTCTCAACATCGACATTGCTGCTTTCAGCGAAGTTTGCCTTCACAAAGAAGGCAGCCTCAGAGAACATGGTGCCAGTTACACAAAGTTCTCTATCAACCGGCACCTCAGGAAGTCCCCCATCATCCCCACATCACCACTGGCCAATCAGAGCTCAAATCAGTCCAGCAGTTTAATTACCTGGGTAGCCTCATCTCCTCGGATGGTAAGATTGACAGGGAGACAGACAACAGGTTAGCAAAGGCATATAGTGCCTTCGGAAAATTTCATAAAAGCGTTTGGCGAAATAAACGCCTGAAGAAAAGTACCAAGATCAGTGTTTACAGAGCCATAGTGCTGTCTACTCTCTTATACGGATCTGAATCATGGGTCATCTACCGCCACCACCTGCATCTCCTAGAATGCTTCCATCAACGCTGCCTCCGTACAATCCTAAACATCCACTGGTCAGATTATGTGACCAATACATCTGTTCTAGAACAAGCAGCAGTCACAAGTATTGAGGCCATGTTACTGAGAACACAGTTGCGTTGGGCAGGGCACCTCTCCAGGATGAAGGACCACCGCCTCCCTAAGATCTTGGTTTATGGTGAACTTGCCACGGGCTGCCGCATGAGAGGAGCCCCAAAGAGGAGATACAAGGACTCCCTGAAACGACATCTCAGCCTTGGCCATATTGATCACCATAACTGGTCTACTCTGGCCTCCAATCGGGAGGTCTGGAGACACACCATCTATAACGCTGCTGATGCCTTTGAGAATGCACGCAGGATCACCCTTGAGGAGAAAAGACAATGCAGAAAGAATCGTGCCTTGCAGAATATACCACCTAAGGAGCCTTTCTGCTGTGCCTTTTGCAACCGGACATGTCTATCTCATATTGGCCTTTTTAGCCACCAACGTGCTTGTAACAAATCTTCGTTTGCGAAGCCCAGCCATGATTACACTGTAAACTATGTAGTCTGTTCTTGAAAGTGAAGTGTCAAAGCAGAACACTGATATTTTCCACGCTCATCACATGCGATGTTTCTGTATTTCAGCATGCTCCGAGGGACAGCCCTCTGCCAATAGCGCCGCCTCAGAGGCACGGGCTGGGCGTTCCCTCCCAGGCCGCTCCGTTTTCCTTCCCATCCTCCACCCCCGTCCCAGGGCACGGAGGTTGTGGAGCAAGTGCTGGGCTTGTGCCAGGGCCTGTGCTCGGGCCTCCACCCGGCAGACACAGCATCGAAGAGAAAAGACAATGCAGAAAGAATCGTATCCTGCCGATACCATCCAAGGAGCATCACGCTGAAAAAGATTGTGAATAGGGTTGGTGTGAGAACGCAGCCTTGTTTCACACCATTAGTTATTAGAAAGGGCTCAGAAAGCGCGTCACCATATCTGAGTTGGCCACACTGATCCTCATGAAGTGAGATGATCATTTTAAGGAACTTGGGGGGACAACCTAAATGCTCCAAAATCTGCCACAGACCTGGTATTTGTTCTCAGACAACTGCAAGAGAAGTGCAGGGAACAGAACAAAGGTCTCTATGTAACCTTTGTTGACCTTACAAAGGCTTTCGATACTGCGAGCAGAAAAGGTCTGTGGCCTTGCAAAGGGGAAATTGTGACTTGAAAGGATTACCTAGTAGAGCCCAGTCAGTGGTTGGTCTTCAATGAGCAAGACAAACATAGTAACCCTATCCTGAGGTCCTGTTCTATTGTTACATTAGATAGGCACCTCTGAGAGCTTGATGTGCAGTGAATAGTTTAACATCTAAAACACTTAAGAAATAATTCTCTCTCTTCCCTTTGCACATCTACTTCCAGCTTGATAGTAAAGAACAGGTCTAAGACAAGGAAATCACAACTAGGCATTTCAATGGCAGCCAGAAAGCAGGATTCCTGGTCACAACAGAGTTACGAGGAGTAAAGTTCTCCAGTTTTTACCAAGCCTTGTGCAACTAAAACTAGGTGTAATAAAAGAGTGGGTGGGTGTGAATGAGCCAAACATCTACAACCCTGAAGAAATACAGAGAAGAGGAAACACAGGGAACAATGCAGCAATGCAGGGCTGATGGAGGAGGTACAAGAGAATGTACAGCTGCCCCTTGGGCCTTTGGGATCATATTGTTCTGGGAAGGTAGATCATATTCTTTCCCTCTTCTGCTATGGAGAATTTAAACAATACTGACAAGGAGGCTCAGCTCTCTCACAATCCATAGAAGGATGCTTTTAGCTTCAAACACTTGCCATCAACAATAATTATTCCGTGTTTCTGACATGAGCAATGCATGAATGTGTACATCAAAAATACCTTCTCTGATGCCTGCAGAGATAGCCAATCCACGTGCAATTAAATGTCCCTGGGTAAACTACAGTATCTCAAAATGACAGACACTGGCATGAGCAACTTAAACTACCTCAATGGTTGCTTTATGTACAGATGCATTTTAATTTGGTAATGAAGCTGTTTTGATGTTTCATTATATTTGGAATGATAACTTTTGGAATTTGAATCAGACAAATATCTCACACAAATTCCCCATGCAAGTTAAGCCTGTCTGGCCCTCTCAAAGTCCACAGAACACAGAAAGGTTTCCTGCTATAGGAAAAGAAAGTCTACAGAGATGACTCCATTGAGCAATACTCAGTTATATTAAAAGAAAATGAGCATGTGCTACCATCTTTTAACTTTTCAAATACAGATAATATTTGGGTAGATTCTCATTGCTGTGTTTTGGGAAACATAACCTTTTGCTACTAGAGAAAAGAAACCCCAAAAACTAGAGTAAAGTGGTTTGAGTGGTTCTTTAGGTTTTTGCGTGTGTGTGTTGGACTTCGTTTGTTTATTGTTTTTGTTTGTTGTTTTGGTGGGGTTTTGATGTTTGTTTGTTTTAGAAAAAGCTTGCCACATGAAGCTGCAGTACAGACTTTAAATCGCTGTTACTTAATCTCAATACAAAATCAGGGTGTCACTCTTCCTTTTCCCCTGAAGCAGATACGTATGATATTTAACTGAAAAAAATGCTGATTCACACATGCTGGTGAAGGTCCCCAAGAAGCACAAACTAAGAGGGAATATTGTAGTCCTGTGCAAAGGGACTACAAAAGGATACTAAGAGCCTGAACCCAGTTGTTCAAAATAGCAAAATATAAATTTAACTGTCACCTTTTCCTCTGGAAGTTGTGCTTCGGTTGAGTAACAAAAATTACTGGGCTAATGCAAGAATGAAGTGAAATACTTTTTAAAAAGTCTATTCCAAGACTTCCACAAATTTAAGGGAAAATTTAAGCCTACACCCAAAGCACATGCCATTAATGCTTCAATGTTCGAAAATATCTAGAGACCAATTGTGTCAGAGAATAAGCAGATCAAATGATAAAATAGACAACACGAGCTGAACTGCACTTCTAAAGCAAGTGTATTCCAGTTCAAGGCAAATCTCTGCATTACAGAGAAATCCCAAAAATAACAGCAAGGGAATAACAATTTAGAAAACAGTCCTACAAAATATTTTTTTACTTAAGTCTTAGAAAAGAATCTTAAAACTAGTTTAAAAGATGCACTTCCTCTCAACCCAAAGTGGGGATATAATACCAGTTTGAAATTTACTGTTTAGACAATCAGACCAAACCAGGTTAGAGTAGATGTGGGCCCCTCTGTTTCTAATGAACCTATGAATGTAAAAAAGGATCAGCTTTCGTGCTACTCATAAAACTTTTCTTGCTACCATCAATATCATCATCATCCCAGTAATAAATTTGTGTCTTCAGACACATGAAGAAACAGTGTAAAAGGCAAACTGGCAGAAGTAATGCTAGTTAAAAAGGTAAGTAGGCCTGTGTCCCAGACCTACTTGAAAGGGTAGGTTCCATATCAGACCCTATCCTGTAAGATAGAAAGGAAGCAGTTCCCTTTAACCTGTACAGTTTATACAAAGGTCAAGGGGCTTCTTTTTCTCCTGCACAGAAAACCTTGAAAATCTTCCTCAGCTAGAAACTGAAGCGAGCTTAAGACCCTGCCCAGGCCCAAAGGATTGAACTAAATGGTCTTTGAACATGCCTTCCAACCCAAAGTACATTCTATGACACGTTGAACACAACATCTGTAATGCACCCTGCTCAGCCTAAGGTAGGTGAGGCAAATTCAAAGCACTGCTAAAACTGGAACAATGCTCATTTCCTAATTCTGTAGATCTTTCATCCTTGATCCTGGGCTTTTTACTTTCAATAACTGTAGCAATGCTGTACATCTCTACTCCAGTAAAGCACAAAACCCCAAAAGGAATAAAATTCCCGAATAATACAGTTCCTTATTCAGCCTAAAGCATAAGCAGCAGGAGTACCTCAAATCAGAGCCAGAAAAAAATTAATCCAAGTTTATTTAGTTAAGTGGGCACCAAACGAAGACCAACATCCCCAGACTGGAAGGTACTAATTCAAGGACTGTGACTGTACACAATGCAGGCTGACAGTCCCAAACTCTGTCCTTTGGAGCTGAACCAGTACAGCAATAAACTGGATAATCTTCTTGCACCAGAGAAGTTATGGCTCATAAATTACATTTATTATGTTTTACTAACAAGTACTTACTTCAGTGAAAGAGAATAGTCATGCTTGCTCGTTTGACTGTTTCTTACAAGGTAGCTACACTCTTTACACAAACGTAACAGGTTTTCTGCATCTGTCCGACTGATTGCTCCATGATACCATCTAGAAAAAAGCAGAGAGATTAATACATACACAAATATTCCCACTCACAGTGCTTTCAACTACTTAATTTCTTTAGGTATGAATAGTCATTAATATCACGTGGATATCTTCATGATCTAACAAATTACAGATAGAGATCATTATCTGAAAGTTAACATTACAACTTGTGGAGGCCTGTAGTTCCTGTCAGCTGAAAGAAAAAAAGATCAGGATGCAGCGTGCATCAAGACTGGTGTACAGTTTTATGTAAGAGATTCCCATTTAGAGTAACACATTACATAATCTGTCTTGTAAGCAGCAGATCCGTGATACAAACATTTGCTCTATTTCATCCCAGTGGCAGATCAGTTTTTAAACTAGTATACCAGATAAAAAAAAGAAAACAAAAGCAAACAAACAGAAAATCACATGTGGAGAATACAAACAGTTAACAGTCGAAAAGATTTTTCTAAAATAAATCTTTGAGGAAGGAGAAGAGCGATAAAGTGTGAAGATCTCTAACAATGACATGTTCTAAACAGAGCTGTGGCAGCTCAGAGTGCTTTATGCAAATTCCCCATGGATCTGTGTAGCCAGTGCAATCAATTCAGGGAAAAAAGGGAAATCAGCAGAGGAGATGTGTGTCCTTCATGAAACTGACCACTGCAAACAAAGAACCTCCTCAGCACATGCTGCTCTATATCAGCTTTTAAAATGGCACACTCCCCAAGTAAGTGCTTCAACCCTTCCCTTAAGTTTCCCAAGCAATGTTATGTGTCTGGCTCTGTACTGGGTCAATCGCACCTCTGAGGAAGATCTTTCCCTTCCTGCAATTGCCAGATACACTTTGAAACACGGTGTGACACTACCATGTCTCTCAAGGTATACATCAGAAGTGCTTTTTGTCTGTTCTTACCAGGAACTGTTGCTGGCTTTGTGTAAAAAAATTTCTTCCATTTGTTCTGCTGAATTAACTATAAGGCAGATGCTCCAGCTACAAGGTAAGTGAATAAAGACCCTTTGACAGAAATCATGCTCTTAACTACCTTGTGCTGGTGTCAGCTACATTGTCAAAGCTGATGAATGAGCTAAAAAAGAGTTGGGGTTCAAATTAAAAATTCATTGTATGCTTGGTTACAACCAAAGTCTGCACCAGAGAGAACTAAAAGGAGGTTATACTATTGTATATTCACAACAAACTATTAAGGGAGGCCCTGAGCGCTTCACCACTTCATAAAAATAGAGACACAGATAGAAATGTTTTCAGGCAATGTTCTCCCTATTTCCCTTCAGATGTTTACCGCTGAAAGGTATTTGTCAACAAGCACTTTAAAGACTAGATTGTCTTCTGAGTGCGAGGGAATAATATTAACACAAGCGTGATTCAGAAAGTGGATTTGGGAAAATTTAATTTAAAAGCTATTCCTATTAGCTAGAAATATATTAGGGCCAAATAAAAATATTTTTTATATTTTTATATTTATATCCCCCTTGCCAAAATCAGGGAGATATCCCAGACTCTGATATTCAGAGGGAAGTATTTCTTATATTCTTCAGATCTGGTGTTCCCCAGCTGTCAGAGAGGTTCATGGAAGAAGAATACAAGGCTGGTTTGAGAAAGAAAAACCTCCTTTTAAGATCTGGAAGTAAAAAGAGCAAAGTATGAAGACAACTGACTCTTATCTGTTCAGATGGGATGCATGGAAGCTGTTTTGGCTACAGCTGAGAGTAAACAGCAGTATCCAGTAATTGCTTGTGAGTCATATACCCATGTAAATGGGACACTCAGATTGCTCCTGTTCCTGCTAGCTAGTGAGATAAGCATAGTGCTGTACTCAGCTTTAAATTCCTGAGTAATTTGCTGTTTCAATTGTATTGGGTCTGTTTGCCCTGGGTGTGCTTTTTTTTGAATGTCAACATGTAGGTATTTGTGCAGAAAAGGTCTGCATCAAAGGTCAATGACATGATCTTAAAAAAGTGAAATGACAGCTTGTGAGAGACTTCAATGCACACACAGGACAACCTGCATGTCTCCTAAGACAGCCAGAAAAACATAGGCACAAAATGCAAATTAAAGCAGAATTCAAAAATAATTACACACTTTGACATTTATTCAAGACCTCCTCCCAAGACTGTAAGTACCCTGATTATGGTTTACATAACATTCTTCCTGATGGCCCTTACTTTGTCAATGATCAAGTTTCAGCCACCTAGGGGCCACAGCTCCACTGAAGACAGGACATGTAGCATCAATTAATACAAGTAAGTATAATCAGTTATTACAGCTCATATAATGTACAACGCTACTCTGCTTCTGAGTTGGTCAGAACAAAACAGGAAACCACCAGATCTTGATTATAAGGCTGGGAGGGATTCACTTTCAATAAGACAATGGAAACAGCAGAACACACTTTCTTCTTTGTACTGTTATTGAGGAAATAGAACAAATTAATTTGATTCCCCTGGGTCCATGAACTATGAACTAAGTTCATAGTTTCCAATTCCTTAATCACAAGTAACCAAAAATATTTTCTTGATATCCTAACACACCTTGGTATTTCTGCCTGTTTGGGGAATTTCCTAACCTAGCTATCCATTTATTAACTTTTGTGTTTCCTTTCCTCTAGATTGTGTACTCCTTTCTACAGAAACAGACTCTGTTTTTGTAGAGAAAGATGGAAGGGTTTGGCAAGTGCTGTGGAGATGTCTCACAGCACTAAAACTTGAGCAACTTGAATTATTATGAATAATCTATGGTACAATAAATCTAAATTCTTCCACTTTCTGACACATTATAGTTAACTGTGCATTCATTTCAGGTTTGATCCTGCATTCTGAGGAATCAAAAATAACCTCATGTCACTGACATTTGAATAATTAAAGGAAGAAAAACTAGCTCTGCAGTTTTTCAGTGGTTAATATCAATTGCAGTTACATGTAACTGCAACTATACTGAAAAAGAAAACTACACAACAATGTATTTATGAGTCAAAAATTAGTTAACAGATACTCAACCTCCTGCAGTATTATAAATGTATTTGGGGGGCGAGTATGGTGAGCTGGAACTACCAAGTCTGAGGACCAAATTTACAGTCAAATTTATAGCCTTTTAATCATTTATTTATCTAACAGTATTTCACAATAACGGTTGCTACTTCCTGTGTTGGAGACAAGCACACAACCTGTCAATGAGCAGATGGTTCAAAGGCTGAGGTTGATTAGATGGAACATGACACCATGCAGATGATATTACTCTCTGTTTCAAGCTTAAGCTTCCAAATACTGCCTGTAAAAATAGAATGTCAAGGGAAAAGGAATTCTGGAACTACCTGCTCTCAGACACAATGAGAGGATTCTCTCCTACTGAGGATTTGAAGTGCAAAAGGATTGTTAAACCTCTTAATACCACCAGCATTCAGGAACAAAGTATTCTCACAAAGCACACATTCACATACATGCAAAATTCTGTCCTCCCTCCCCTGTACAAATAAATTCTGCATCTAAAGTAGAATGATAGTTTCTGGAGTGGGCCTGCCTTCAGGGATTCAAGACACAGCTTCCTTCTTTACTTCATGAATCCGCTGGCTTTTTAGTGCCCACAAGTATCAGTCTAACCTGTGTAAATTGCCCCACATGAAGATTTTTCTTTGTGTAACAGGAGTTCTGGTCCCTTCTAAGAGGCAGCACCTTTGGTATGACACAGGATGGTGGATCATTCCATCACACAAGCCACTCTGTCCAAATCATTCAAGGAAGAGTAACAATGAGGCAGCACGAGGGCCACTTTTGTGGATACAGACATTCACTCCACAGAATTCTCTGAGAACCTGATTTTGGAGCTGATAAAACTGCCTCTGAACATCGCTCTCAAGTTTGACACCACCAAAGCAGAAATAAGTCTTTTTTCCAAAAGCTTTTTAAGTGGTCTTATCATTCTCTCCCTGAAAGAGTATCACAGCCAGATGCAAGGCATGTCTGATATATTAGAAACATGTTACGAAGCCACAAAAATATGGAATTAAGGCAGCTTTAAGGCAGGCTTTGTACTAGGTGATATACAATTTTTTTTCACAAATGCAATATAACCAACATGGTTGAAAGGAAATACCTGCATATACTTGATAGATAAAATTCACTGTTCCCAACAGGAGTTTCCCATTTAAGATTATTCTGCCCCCCACAAAAGTTACTTACACTTAGTAGGATTAATAAAGAGTAGTTTTTTTGTGAGCACAAGGGATACTGAGGAGGGCAGCTGGACAGCAGGATCTGGGCACTTTCTGCTCCTGTAAGTGGGGAGGCAAAGAGCTAGAGAGCAATTACTGTGCTTACTTACATCTGCTTTTCCAGTTGAATAGCTGGATCTATTCTCTCTCCCAGGATCCCACAAAATTCTGGACTGCCATGTTTGATGGGTTTAAAGCCTCCTCCAGGTGCTCTTAATTGTCTGTGCTGGTCATTTGAGGGAGAAGGAGATGCTTGCCGTTTCCCACTTCCATTAAATTGGGCTGCAAGATACACAACAGTTACCTCTGCAGGCAAGGTTAAGAAGGACCAAAAGAGTTGTAGCACTTAGAGAGGTTTCACACCCCACGGAGAACAAACATACAGCCACTAGCATTATGATGTACTGCTTTATCTACAGAGTTATATGTATCATGTAAAGGTGTTTCTTACTATGCAAAGTAGTCCTAAAACTCTCTTTCTTTTCCAGTAACAAAAGCCACACTCTTCTAAACCTTGTTATAATAACCAGTACTTATCTTAACATTTGTTCCTTTCATCCCCCAGAGATGATGCTCTTAAATAATTAACAGTAACAAGCTTTTAGTCAGGTACCATAATTCCAGTAACAAACAAGTGAGAACATCAAGAAATCCTCAGTTTAATGCGGTATCATCCTAACAGTGATCTGGGTGCAAATCCAGGCAGCTAACACCCATCAGAAATACTGTCAAGCACCAAAGAATTAACAGTGGCACTTATACAACACTGGCACAAAGCTTTTGTCTTTAAATACTAGGAAACAAACAGGTGAAAACAGAAAACAGCATTTGCTAGTTTCTCTCACTAACTATAGTATTCCAAGAAAACCAATATGACTTACTTTGCAAACCTATAATTTATTAGAGCACTGCAACATCCCTAGCAAAGCACATAATAATGATGTCAGTGTCCTCATTCTACACTTACAGATTCCACATATCTGTAATTTAAAAATAATTAAAGAAGAGAATGTTGACAGAAAGAGGGAAAGAAGCTACCCACACCATATTCCTGACTCTCACTGCCTTCTGTGGTTTGCTGCTTCATCAAAAATTAACATTCCCACCCTGCAGATGACTTTATTTCAAGGTCATCTACTGGGCACCAGGCAGAAAAGGCTTCACTGTATCAGGAACTAAACATCACAATGTGCACCAGCACAAACAGCTCAAGCAGCTCCTCTGTGAACTTCAACAGCAACATGAGAAAAAATGTTGCAAGGTAAACTGAAGGGGCCCCCTACGAAGTTATAGGTATTATGCATTTAGAACTAAACTTACTATAACACACAGCCAATTAGGCATGTGGCTGGTAGTACCCAGTGTTTTAAAGCAAGTGTTCTAGAGCAATCTAAACAGCAGGAAGACCCCTATAATGTTCAAGTTCAAAAAAGATAATGCATACAGACATGCTGGACATGGAAAATGTTTTGGAGCTTTTTTATTATATATATATATATGCATATATGCTATCTTCATGGGACTTATGACAATTCCAAATTTCTCCTCTATTCAGACAAAGCAGGCACAAATTTTTGCCAAAACTGGGCAAATGTATTCAATCTCATTCTTAAGTATGCACGGCAGTAATATGCTGGTTCTTTCTTAAAATATAAACTCAGATTTAACCTCATTACTGGGTAATGAAAGCTAATTAGCATAAGAAGAAGAAACATTGCATGTGCATACTTGCCCATAACACATATGAACAGTACCATTATTTCAACTGTAAGAAAAACAGTCTAATCAGGAGATTCTCTGAAAACCAGTGAACTTAATGTCAGCTTCTGACCAAGGAGTATCTTTCAGACACTAAAAAATTCAGTTCACAAAACAAACATGAAACCCAGCTCTGACTGTAAACAGCAATACCTTTACATCATAGAATCATAGAACGCCTTGGACTGGATATGACATCAAAGATTATCTATTTCCAGTCCCCGAATGGAAGGAGGATGTCACCACAGGCAGTGATTCCACCCACTAGACCGGGTTGCTCAGAACCCCATCCAACCTGGCCTTGAACACTTCTGGGGATGAGGCATCCACAGCTTCTCTGGGCAATCTGTTCCAGTGCCTCAGCACCCACCTCAGTAAAGAATTTCTTCCTAACATCTAATCTAAATCTTTCCTCTACTAGTTTGAAACCATTTCCCCTTGTTCTATATTTATCTGCCTGTGTAAAAAGTCACTAATATGATGGTTTAAAGGTAGGATCTATTCTCCAAAACCAGCAAAAAGTTAAATTTCAGATTTTTTTGAATATTTTGGGTTTTTTTCTCTCTGAAAAGCTCAGACATGTCTCTGGACTCCTGCCTTTCTTTTTTTTTTTTTCCTTTTTGGTTGGTTGTTTTTGGTTGTCTTTTTTTTTTTTTTTTGGTTGTGGTTGTTGTTGTTTTGGGGTTTTTTTGTTGGTTTGGTTTTTTGGGGGGGGTTTGCTTTTTTGTTTGTTTGTTTTGTTGTTGTGAATTAACTTGTCAGGAAGAAGCAGCCTCGAAGGGATAACCAAGCAGATTAAACCAACAAGTGAGATACAATCTTGTTATCAGGTCTGAGTTTTGGCTGCTATAAATCCCCTCTTAAAACCTACTGTATTCGCAATGAAGGTTCAGAAGCCTAATTCCATGGAACTGGCAGTGTAGTTCTTTATTGCTACAATAATTCTGTTCATCACAGCCATTTCAGTTACAGAATACCTGCACACCTGACACTTCCCCATTCTCTATGTGGCCTCTCTTCCACTGCCCTGTATCTGGTGCCATACCCCAGGGGTGGTGGCATGCCAGAACTCCCCTGTGCTTTAGTAGCCAGCAGAGGAGACCCAAGTCTGGCATCTACAGATTCCCCTTCAAGAAGTAGTCCATGATCAGTGCTGGAAAACTACTACCAAACGGCCCTCTTCATAGCATAGGTCCATATATTTTTTAAGGCAGACGGGCTTTACAGACTTCACGTGCATTTCGTTTACCCAGAGGTTTGCTATTCCCCTCCCGGCAGTCCAAGAAGTCAGGTTTCTCATAAACTCAAATGGAAGCCAGTGTCAGCCTGATATGCCTGAATGGGCTCTTCAGTGCCCATGTTATCTTCCATCTAGCCAATGGGGTCTCCCTGGTGTTAGTCATCCCCTTTTCTAGCCAGACTTGTGTACCTGAAAGCTACTTTGTTCCTGTTACTTTGCCAATCTCAACTCTTCTGGGCAAACCAGTTTGCCCAGCTCAGCAGGAGTTCTATCAAGACCTGCCCTCTTCCCAGAAGAGCCAAACACACATCCAGCTTCAGCTGTACAGCTTCCAGTAAAACAAAATTAAATTTGTTTTTGAAGGAACTCAAGCTGCAGACAGTCAAAATGCCACATTCCAGCTCTGCTACACAGAGATGCATCTTTCAGTAGTTCAGAAGTCCCTGGGCTACACATAGCTTGCTTCATCTACAGTGTCAGCATGACATGAGCTCCATGCTTAGGAGTCGGGGCACAGATATACTCTCCTCAACCTGAGCATATTTCATAGCCTGTGCATGCTTACATTCTACCTTTTCAACTACAGGTTGGAGATAAATAGGTTTTAGCTGTGCTTCAGCAATAAATCCTGAAATCACAGCAGAGGAACAAATGTTTTCCTTAAAAGACTTGCATGAGTAATTAACTTCATGATAAGTCCGGTGTTGCTTGCCACTTTGGTTTGTTTCTGAGATCTATCACCTGACAAATCAAAAACATGTGCTGCACAAATCTGTCTGCACTTCACATCACAAATATCTGTTGTTCCCTTCAGATGAACTTCTCAAAATAGAAAATTTTTAGCAGAGGGTACCTTCAGGACCTCCACAACTCCAAGTAGTTAGGGGATGGTAGTTGTGAGCCTGTAAGGTTGGACTTGCCCACTATCAGAATTTATAATACCACTAAGACCAACATTGTGCTTTTCAGAGAAATCCACCTCAGCTAAGAACTAAAAAGAACCCCACCTGGTCTAGGTACATCAGGCAGCTACATTATAGAACCACAGAATAAATCAGAAGAGCACTTCATATATCTCAGCAGTCGGTCAATACTTCTCCATTGCAAACTTTCCACTGTTTCAAGTTGGACCTCCTCTTTCCTTATTTTAGACATCTATAACTCCTAGGACTTAAATGTAGAGACACCAGATGAAACAGCAGCTTGAAACTATGGTTGCAGTCAATCCTTACACACTCCTTTGTAACAAATAACCAGGTACCTAAGATAAACTAAGTTATAATGAATGGTAGATGCAATCAAAGAAATCTAATTAATCTCAAAAATGGTTTACTCTTCTTATTTTAAATAAAAATGCTACATGCTGAACCAATAAGGAATCCAACCATATTTTAGTCTATTACTTTTAGTCTATTACTTTTGTAAAGCAGTATCTTGTTCTATGTGCTCTCATAAGAGTTAACTACATAATGCTTAGAAGAATATTTACACATAGACTGGCGATAAAATCTCATATTGGACTGACCTTGTTAATTTACAGTTACATGTACACAAACTGAAAAGCAAATATAAAGAAAAGAATTCACAAAATTAAGATTTTTTTTTTTAAACAACTAAAAAAACCCCTATTTAAGAATTTACCTGTTAAAGACCAAAAAAGTGGGCATGAAGGGGAGTACAGAGCTTAAGATTTAAGTTCTGAATGAACTAAAAATTATCCATTTCATATAATATGAACAACACATGAAGAATAATGTCTAAGATTTACATACACACACAAAAGACTCTTTAAGACAATAATTTTTAAAACTAATAATCCCATTTCTGTGGCTGTTGTATTACTAATTGAAAAATCTGTGAAGCGTGATCTTACTGGAGACAGACATGTACTGGTCCCACAGTTTGTATCTCAGTGCTGTTAAGGTATGAAGTTGCTGGTTTTTGAAAGGAAAATTACTTCTAGGTAGCACACAATCACTGTTCTTGTGTGGGAAGCTCAGAGCCACTCTCTCACCTGTCAGGATACGAGGCTGCATATATGCTCTAGGCAAAGACAGTACTGGTGTCACCACAGGGACACAAAAAAAGCCACAGAAATGTCTACTGAATGCCATAGTATGAACCCAAAACACAGAGCTTCACACACATGCCAGACATCTGCAAGACAGCCATTATGGCACTGGAAACCTGGTGATACCCATTCTCTGTTGATTAGCCTATCTTGATATACACCAGATATCCCAAATTACAGCCAGGATCTCACAGCCAGGAAGTCTCCCAGCACAAGCCTTGCAAGCGTTTTAATCGGTCCAGCAAATGGGATGAGTCAGCTCAGACAAGCCTAAACCAAAGCCTGTTTCCACCAGGCAGACCTCAGGAGCATAACTGCAAGCCACATGAGCAGGTTAGACTATTGTGTTGGAGTTCATGCTCTTTAGAGAAAGAGACTTCTTTACCTGTAAAGCATCCAGCAAAATTGGATGCTGCTTTAGATCCAGGTTCAAAAGATCTATTAGCATATGCTTAATGAGAAAGTCACTCAGCCTGTAGCTCCACAAGATTATTATCAGCTCACATGCCAGAGCAGACCATGTTGCTAGGAAGCACAAATCAGTTTTCTTTGACCTCTTCTGTTCCATAGGAGCCCAACAAGAGGAAAGGGGATGTTAAGCAAGAGGTTTCTTTTTAAGTATTTTGTTCAGGTTCATCTGTGTGTCTCTCGTTCCCATGCACATTTCACAGGATGGATAATGCAGACATCAGTTGGCTTAGAAACAAACACAAATCAACCACAATCTAAAAATGTAAGAAGAAATGAGGAAGAGAGGTAGAATCACTCTCACAACAATAGGCCATTGCTCTACCCTGTTGTGCTACCTATTAGGGAATCAGGTCAGAAACCTGATAGTACCAAGAAGGGCACTATCACAACAGGCTCTGCTTACAGAACACTAGCCCTGTACAGCTATGAAGGGAAGTTACTTCCCATTTCTGTAACACAGCAACATCTTGGCACACAGAATTGCAAAATCACAGATAATTCAGGTGGTAGAGTCTGCTGTGCGATCAGATCAGGTTGTTTATCCAATCACTGCTTCACGCAGTACGAAAACATCTGAAGATGGAAATTGCAAGAGCTCCTTGGACAACTGGTTCCAATGCTTAACTGTTCTTGAAGAGAAAATTATTTCCTGTATTGAGTCAGAACCTCTCCTGATTCATCCTATGTCTCATCTTCCCATCACACACCTGTGAAGAAACTGGCTCCATCTTCTTGAGGATCTCCTCCTATGTACTGGAAAGTTCCCATTATGTCTCATCCAAAGTCTTCTCTTCTTCAGGCCAAACAGGCCCAGTTTCTCAGCATCTCCTCACACATGCTGTCATGTGCTGCAGTTTCCTGTCATTTTGGTTGCTCTCTGCTGACAACATTTATAACATCCTTCTAGTATCAGAATACTGGACACAGCATTACACAATGTCCAGGAAGTGTGAATTAAAGAGGAACAGTCACTTTGCTTGATCGACTGGCTTGCTCCTGTTCACACAAGCCAGGATGCTTCTTGCCTTCACCACTGGTGAAGAGCACTGCTAGCCGTATTTAGCCCACTTTCCCTCGGGACTTCTTAAGCACCTTGTAGCAAAGCTGTATTCCAGCAAATCAGTCAGTTCTAGGTCCTTATCACTGCAAGGGGTTAGTCTGTTCCAGATGCAAGTCTTTTGGTTTGTTCTGGTTGGATTTTGTAAGCTTGTTGCCAGCCTATTTCTGCAGCCTGTTCAGGTCCCTCTGAATGGCAGCTTTGCACACTCATGCCCTCCCCCTCCCTTGGTTACTATCCCAAAGTTCATGAGGGGCATTTCCTCTTTCTGCTCTGGGTTACTGATAAGCGTGCTGAACAGGAAGGGTTCCAGAACATATCCTCTGAGGAATCACTTGTAACAAGACTCCAGGAAGAGTATGAATCACCAAGCACTACCCTTTCAGGTCAATGACTCTAATCAGTTTTCACAAATCTACTAGTCCTCCCATCTAGGCTACAATATTCCAAACACAGTTGATGCCACAGCACACCATGCTGAAAGCTGAAGTCAATCTAGATGACACCTACTGCTCCTTTCCATTAACAGATCTAGTAGTTTTAATACTGAAAGCAAACAGGTTTGTCAAGCAGGATTTACCCAGGGTAAATGCACACCGAGTACTTAGTAATCATTGCTCTCAGGCTTCTTCCATGCTCCCTCACGGAGCCTGATCTCTTTTCTTCCCTTCTCACCCCCAACACTATCATCACACTGTCCCTTTAAGAATTGCTCCACAATTTCAGGACCTGGCAAGGCAATGTCCTTGTCATAGAGTCAAAAATGGGGGTAGAGACAAGAAGTGAGAGAATCAAAAGTTTTTGTAACATGAACCAAGTGTTAAGATGATTGAAAACAGGTCAGTTGAAGCACCAAACAAAGTGCAATGTTCCATACTTCTGCAGCAGGTAAAGATTTGAGACTGCCCACACCTGCTTTTCAGACATTTCTACACACACACACATGCCAAAAAGAGCTCGCAAAAAGTACTTGATTTCTCCCAAAGGCAAGTGTATATGCTGTAAGTGTGAGAGAGAATTCTGTGGTTGGGATCTAGGAAATCCTACCTGCCAAAGCTGGGATGGTGACTTTGTTCCACTCCCACGGCTGATCATACTCATCTGCAGGCCTGTCGTCATCCTGTGGCAATTTGCTTTCTCGTAAACGGTGACTCACCACACTTTCGGAATCAGATTCCACACCACTGCCTTCTGGTTCATAGGGTGTGTCATAGAGCTGCATGTTTTTCTGATGGGACTTCATGCCTTCCTGCTGTTGAAACTCTGTTGGCAAGAAGGAAAATTGCATCAGAATCACTACTAACCATGTCTTATCATTATAGTCTATAATTTTAGAGCATTCAACTTCCACCCATTTCTTAACAGCCACATAATTATAGAGATGACAAGCTTGTACAAGACTTCTAAATTCTACCTCTACATTGGTAGCTGGCTGGAAGCAAAAGTTTGCTCCAGCTAACAACCACAGCACAGTCTCATGCCTCCAACAACATTTCCCAGCTTGTCCAGAGCTAGACTGCAGGAAGTACACAAACCCTGTCAGCCTGTATAAAGCACACTTGGAAGCAACTGTACATAAGTTCCCAAGAACACTGAAATTTTTGTAAAGAGATTGTTCTGAAATACAATTTGAAGCTAAAAAGATCATAAAAAAATAAATCTCACAGTATAATTATACATGCTGATAAAAAAAACCAATTGTCTGCATTTATGCCTACAGAGTATCAGCAAAAAATTAACTAGGACTAGAGTAAGGACACTAAGCAAAAGCATTGGTAACTACCGCTTAGCTCACATTAAGGGGATTTAACAGCAGCTCTCAGCTGCGGGAAAAGCAGTCAGAACCAAACCCTTCTAGGGCAGAGTCAGTAGATACAATAAGGAGAAACAGATATAAAATGTAGCTCAAGAGTTCCAAGGGGTATGTTGCAGGAACCTTCCTCCCCTGGTGTGTAGTGCAGCCCTGGAACAGGTCACCAGGTGGGTCACGGGAGGGGTCTCCACTCTTTGGAGTTTGCAGAGCCTGGGCTAGGCAAAGGCAGCCACAGTCACCACATCCCCGATACAAAACTGGGTGGAGTGGGTGATAGGCCAGATGGCTGTGCTACCATTTCAGAGGGACCTGGAGACTCTGGAAAACTGCGGGCTAACAGGCTGGAAAGCTGCTCAGCAGAGAAGGGCGTTGGGGTCCTATATGACAGCAGGTTGAACATGAGCCAGCAATGCACCCTCATGGATAAAGAGGGACAATGCTAACCTGGGATTAGGAATTTTGAAAGCAGATCAAGGGATGTGATTCTTCCCCTCTACTCAGCATTGGTGGGGTCACAACTGGACTGCTGGGTCTGTTTCTCATGTCCCCAGCGCAAGAAAGACATAGAAAGACTGCAGCAAATTTCAGCAAAAGGCCATGAAGCTTGATAATGGGACTGGAGCACTTTTCACACAAGGAGAGGATGAGAGACCTGAGACTGGTTAGCCAGCAGAAAATAACTCTTAGTGGGGACATTATCAATGCATATAAATACCTGATGGAAGAGAGTGAAGATGGAAACAGACTTTTATTGGCAGTGCCCAGTGACAGGACCAGATGCAGTAAGCACAAGTCAAAATACATGCAATTCCATCTGAACACAAGAAGACATTTTTTAACTGTGATAATGGTCTAACACTGAAACAGGTTGCCTAGAGAAGCTGTGAGATCTCTACTTGTGGAAATAATCAACATATGACTGGACACAGCTGTGGGCAACCTACTCGAGCTGACTCTGCTTGAACAGGGTTTTTTGTTAGATGATATTAAGAGTTCCCTTTCAACCTCAGATGTTCTGTGATTATATTTACCACTGCAAGGACAAAGTAGGAATGTCAATAATTGTAGAAAATTGCAAAGTTACAAAAAAAAAAAAAAAGACTCAGTCCGAGAACTTTTTAACCCACAAATGAAGTAAAGATTTAGAGTAGTTCTCTCCGTTAGTGTAACAAAAGTCGTTCATCAATTAATCTATCAGCAGAACATTATAACCAAGTAATTTCTCCAAACCATTTCAAAGTACTGTGAAAGTCTGCAAAATGACAGTGCAATTCCTTGGGAAAAAATATTTAGTTTATACATTACAAATACAGTAAACGCGAAGAGATATACACCAAAACTGATGATGCAAATACAAGCAAGATAGGTCCTGCTAATTCCTAGTTATGAACAGCCACATCACCCCCTTTCAATACAAGCAAAACCTACAAAATGCCATCTTTAAAGGGTAGCTTATTTGAAAAAAAGGCTTTAAAGCTTTTAAAAAACCACAGTCCTTGTATTTCAGCTCTTCTTTGAAAAGAATTTTGCTCAAGAAAAAATGCTGCTCTGAGAAAAAACTGTATTAGAAAGAATTCACAGCTGATACTCTCTAGAATATTCCTAGATCAGAAAGATAAACATTTTATTTCTTCTAAAGTCAGGAATGTGGTATGTATCTGTTTGTCTTTCAGTACCATGAAGCCAGTAACTCGTACACAAAGAAATGTGCATTTCTGTGGAACAGAAGCCATGATCCTACCAAATCAATTATAGGTGCCAAACACAAACCTGTGTGCCAAAACACAGTTAGGCTACTGGCTCCTTTTGTGTGAGTACATTTCAATACAGGACTCCTTGATCAACATTTGTCTTTTACCCAGAGGATCAAAGCATCAGACTGCACAGAAAGTTTACTGGGAAACAGAAGGTGATTCATGTTCAGGGACCACAATTAGAAAAATGACAAATATTTGATCCTAAAGTAGAAAAGTTTTTCTAGGAAAAACTAAAACCTACAGAGAGTGAAGTGGAAGAACAACATATACACGTATATACAAAACTATATCTGTTTATACACATACACTTACACACACGTTTACATAGCATCTCTTTTATAAAGCTTCCTATAAATATGCTTGAAAGTTCATCTTGAAGAGTATGTGTAAATAAAAGTAATTTTACTAAAAGTTAAATCAGAAAAAGTTCCTTTCCATAAGTTACAGCACAGCTGAATCTGTACCAGAAGCAGTTTTAGAATTATACACACTGATATGTCAGTGCGCACTTGACATTTAAGAATCAGATAGTGGAAGACAACAGAACATTTGTGATGAAGCATTTCTCATGGTTTTCAAACAGTCTGTAATAATGACAGCTCTAAGGGCTACAATAGTCACTGGAATGACTAAAAATCCAAAACTCTGTTAATTTATTTTTTAAAAATATTTTTCACTTTTATCAATTGTATAATTTGAATTCTTACTACTGGTGAAGTATATTTTTATAGAATTATGTGCATTAAGTTCATACCCATTAGAAGGAGAAACAACTGAAGTTCTGAAAGCACTAATTTTGCTAGCAGGCTGGAAGACTCCCACAAAAAATTTTTATTCTCACAGATTAGAAGTTATGACAGAATTAGGCTCCAGAAGTTTGGGCTCCTGTGTAAAATCAAAAACCTGACCAATAAGGTACAGAAACTGAGAGAAGATTATGATATACAAGACTCAACTTGACATTCCTCTTCCCATTCAGTGAACAATTCTGACACTCACATATAGAACAGAGCTCCAATGGATAAGCAAGTAACCTCATGGTAACCTTTCCAGCAGCCACACTAAATGCCTTAATAGCCCTAAATAATGTAAGAGCATTAGTCATAGGTGCACCATATTCCTGATGGGAGTGTGGAGAGAATTAGGGGATATATCATCAAGAAAATAGAACAACTAAGAAGCCAATAAAAGGAAACATTGAACACATTACTACTTGCTTACAAAACCCATTAGGTGAGCTTCTACAGCTTGCTTTCCAAAAGGATTTGACAGACAACAAAACAACCAGATTATTCTGTAATGGTCAGATACCAATAGATATTTCCTTCATTCATGCATGCAGTAACAAGAGGTCAGTGTAGCTGCACTCTTAAAAGGAAGTTCTGATAACATAAAATCCCATTTTCCCAAATCAAGTACATCTCTGTCACCAGGCAGTAGTAAACTCACTGCCATTTTACATCCCCTTTGCAACATTTGTTTTGATGAAACACAAGACAAGCAAAATGCAGGAATCCTCCTGCCACAGTTGTGTAAGTAAATGTCAGACACAGAAAGATTCCCCAAAGTTAAGCACTTGCAAGAGTTTTTGTTTTCCTATCTGGTGAAAAACAATGAGCTAGATTCTGTTGGGTAGGTTAGGAATCAAAGCCAGGTTCCTGCACCACACAGTAGGAGCACACTGTGCTTGCCTACATCCAATATGCAGAAAGAGTCTTAATCTGCAGGAGACAAAAGCACTAAGCTGTATTAATTCCCTGGGGTTTTTTCAACCTACTCTACTATTCTGTTGCGAAATATAGAATAACTTTTTTCTTTTAAACATTTTGTTAAAAATTTCTTTTAAATATTTTACATGCAACAAATCACAGCATCGGTGGCAACACAGACATAGGTGCTTCTTTATCACTCTGAAAGCAAACAGTACTTTATGGATGCCCCACTGAAAAAAAGAGAGATCTACAACGTAATTGGGTACAGTCACATTAACTTATAGATTAATCAAGAGCAGCACAATAAAGCTGTTTTGACTCACCATTACGTCAGATTTCAAAGTGTACTGACCCACACATGTCCGGTGAAAATGAGATAAGCCAAACCCATCTCCATCTCAGCTACAGCTTTCAAGACTGGTGCAGGATTTAATATTACAGTCCTACCACCTCCTCAGGTGTTTTATCTTAGCTAACAGCCCTATCCTAGTAAGACAAATCTGATTATGAAGGTAACATGCTGGAAACAGTACTGCGAACTTTCAGAAATCTAGCACTGAAATTGTGTTTTAAACAAAGTACAAGGGCTATATCCACAAGGGCTCTGTACCTGATAAGTCTAAGAACAGCACTCAGGACAGATAACAGAATCCTACTGATGGGATTTTACAGAGCACACTTAGTTGCACCCATTTCCATTCAACTACACCACCCACTACAGAGTTTAAATTGGCCATAATGCTGAATAAAGCTTCACTCTATTTCCTAAAGCATTGGACAAAATACTCGAAAACATTACTAACCTCAACAAGCGGCTGTTGATAGAAACCCTTTAATGTAAATACAATGATTTTTAAAGGCCACTTTTGCGTGCTCTTGAGTTTTTTCAGATACACAGCTATTTGAAGGAAGCCCAGCAGATTTTTCATTCATTCATTTAACACACATTAGCATGTAAACACTATGCTGGAATAAGACTGT